CAAGGGGGAGAGGTAAAAGCGGCCTCTCCTTCCACCAGCGATGGCTTTTGCGAGATCCTTGCTTCGACTCCTCCTGCTCTGTGTAGAGCTGCTCTCCGGAGCTATGAAGAGGTTAAAAACACAAGCATTGTTTTCATTGGATTTTTTTTTTTTGAAACTCCAAGGTAGCCCCAAACTTGAGAAACTGCCATTAATACTTTCAAGATGAGGGTTCTAACCGCGCCACATTTTGGCAGGCATAGTGCATTGGCCATGGGAGGGCAGCTAAAGCCCCAGGAAGTAACTCCTAAGTAGCTGGAGATACTTTTGTAGCCGATTTCTTCCCATCCTTACAGCTGGGAGGCTGTACGCAGGAGACTCACAGCCATCCAGTGACGCTTACCTTTAATGGACGTGATTCACGTATTTATTTACTTATGTGAGAATCGATTCCAAAGTCATCTTAAACCCCCCTTTTGGCTTCCAAAGTCATCTTAAACCCCCCTTTTGGCTTCCCTCCCATGGAGAGACCGTGCAGATAAAACCCAGGGAGCGAGGCTCTTGAACCACAGATCCAAGGGGGAAAGCAGTGCACATCTGGATCTGTTGCACATCTGGATCTGTTTGCTCACTAATGACACTTCGGGTATTTTTTTTCTCTCCGCTCTCCCTCTTACTCTTTCTCTCACTATCCTTCTTCCCTCCCGCCTCCCTGTGACTGTCCTCCCTTCTGTACCTTTTCGGACTTCTCTCTTCTCTCCCTTTCTGCAAAACCCCGCAGCCACTGACTTACAGTTTGCCCGGACCAGCGAAGGACACCCTGTCCCTTTTGCCACAGCCGGGGACTGCTACAGTGCTGCCAAGTGCCCGCAGGTATGTGCTAAGGGCTCCCCCCACCGAGGACCCACGTCCCACCGTGCCCGCAGGGGACCCCTGGCTGCTTCTGCTCCCGGGAATACAGTTAGAACAGCTGCTCTGGAGGGCAGTTTGGCCCCCTGCAGGAAGTCTCAGAGATGCTCCGAGCTACTCATCTAGCCATGCCACTCCTAGGAGTGTTTCCTAAGGAACCGCTCAGAGCTACATGGCAAACCTCTGCATGCAGCAAAATGCACCTGCTATAACGGTAAACATCTGGAAGCAGATTAGGCATCAGAGGGCAGGGGTTTTGCTTAAACAAACCGTGCTGGTTCACAGAGTGAATGTTATACCGTCAGTGACAGGCCGGTATAGGCTTCATGACTGGCTCTTTAAGAAAATCACAAGTCCTGCTTTGTAGCATTTTTGCCAGCCTCCCAGGTGTAAATACTCTCGCTCCGCCCCGCCCCCACGCCCCGTAACTGATTTCAAGCCACCAGCATTACGTCCCCAAATGGGGAGTCCGGCAGAAATGCACACGATCGGCTCTCGCAAGCCAGGACGAGCGCGCTCTAACCCACCACCACGGTCAGCCGTTACAAATTGTAAACGTTGTGTGACAGAAAAACTGCTATCCCTCCTTAGATGTATAAAACGTGTAGTGTCCAGACGAAAGGCAAGTTTATCATCGTCTGCTGGATTTGCTGTTCAGCAGAGCCGCTCAGTGGCCATCTCATTGCCTAGCCACACTGCCGCACGCCCTTGTCGCCCTGGAGGTGTGGATATTTTGAAACGCGCTGTCGTAAGGATCTGCCTGGGGCCGCTTTTGCAAAATCGGCATCATCTTTGCAAGAAGCTGCGGCCCTGAGAAGGCGTGACGAATTCCATGATTCCGGCCAGGAGAACTTGGCCTCAGTTCTGGCTTTGGTTCTAAAGGGGTCCTCACGAGGTTGCTAAACTCTGGGCCAGGAGTTTCCCACTCCGCCCCCCCCCCCGGGCCTTCAAAAGTCTGGGGACCAGGACGGGGAGCTGCATTGGGAATACACCATCTCCCCAGGATGGGTTTAGGCCCAATCAGAGACCATCCGAAGACAAACACATCTGAATTTTCTTTTAACAAAGTGTTTTCTCAGCCCCCAGCTTCAGAAAGCAATGCTAAACATTTTAGGGAAGTGAAAAGGAAGCTCTCAGGGAGAAAGAAAATAAACAAAGGACATAATGGTAAAAGGGGGCCTCTCCTCTATTACCCAGGAATTGAAAACTTTTGAAGTGCTGTTTCTTTAGAGCAGCAGATGACTTCAAACACCCCACTGGTGTGGGTTGCATTTTAACAGCTAATAGATTAGCCCTGTCCTGCCTTTTTCAAAAGTCTGAGGATTTTCTTGTTTCTCTCTGCGCATCTTTGGGGAAGTTTAGGTAAATGAAAGGTAATCTGCATTCATTTCTTTTAATAATTCAGAGACAAATGAACTTATTGATTTGCTAAATCCTGACCCTGAAGCAATTGCTAAATGAGAAAACCCAAAGCCCGTGAGAAGCTAATTTGTATTTTTTCCTAGCCTGTTCTTCAAGCCATATCAGGGGTTTTCAGAACTCAATCCCTTAGACATTTATTGAGCACCAACTCCGTATACTGATGAAAGCCCTGAGTTTTGCAGACGGGTTTTCCAGGAAAAGGTCCGCAGAAGCACCCTTGTGCGAGGAGCTTTGGAGCAGTCGGCCCCTCCTGTGACCTGCTGATTGCACAGAAGCCAAAGGGAATGTGCTGTTTCCTCCTCGTTCACACTGTGGCTTTGGCGACTTACTTAGCAGTAAGAGCAGGTCCCCCAAGGGCCCTCAATGGGAAATGTAGCCAGGATGTGTTTTCCTCTTCTGACCACAGGGGATGCGGCGTTACTGTTACTGATGCTGGTATTGGTAGCATTTACTGAGTGTTTACTAGAGTTTAGACTTGGCTCAGCATTCCTAGGTCGGTGTGGCATGTCACCCCACAGCAGCCACCAGCGAGAATGTCCCCCCTTTTCAGATGAGAAAATGGAGTCACAGAGACATGGGGGAGGGGTTGCCCAAACCCACACAGCTGGTGCTCAGTAGAGGCGGGATTTGATCCCAAATGTGTCTGAGTGCAAATCCACGATGGCAGATGGGTCTGCCTGACCCCACTTGCAGAGAGGACTTTGCAGCCTTCTCCTTTGTCTGAACAAAGAACAAAACCTCTCCTAGCCTCAGGCACATCTTTCTCAAATCCCTCTGGATCCTCTAGTGCATGCATAACCCGGAATTACTTTTACCCTCTTAAATCAGCCACAGGAGGTAGTAGCTATAACATTCACACCCTCTACCCCTCGAAGATGAGGGCTGTAGGGGCAAAGATGTCTCACCTGGAGCTCAGAGGACAGTAACTCTTCACTCCTCACGGGACCCTTAACTTAAGGTGGTCATTATCAGCTGAAAACGTAGGTCCCCTGTGCTGGAAAAGGTGGAAAGAGAACGAGGAGGAAGACCGCCCGTTCCATCGGGTCTGTCACCCGCTCCGAGAGGGCAGATCTAGCCAGACGTGTGTATGGAAGGTGCTTAGACACCGGACGCCCGGATCAGCGGGGGGAGTTCTTGGGCCAGAAGGCAGGTCAGGGGCCTGGACCTTGCAGGAAACTTGAGGTCAAAGCAGATCACGCTACCTTCTCCTGCAATGCAGGGGGAACAGACCATCCGCATGGGAAGCAGGATGGGAAAGGGAGAAAGAGAGGGATCCTCGGCTGCAGTGGGGTCTGGTCATAATGAACGGTGTGAACACGGCCTCAGGACAGGCAGGAGAGTGAAATAAGGAAATAGCAGGTGAGATAGCAGAGCTGGAAGAGGTGTGTACCTGAGGAGGCCGGGCAACACTGGGCTTCGTGCCTCAGGGCAGCCACAATCACGGACACTTACTGAGGCCACTTCGCCTACCAACCACGAACGCCTGTAGGGTACTGTCATAATTTCCAAAAATACTATTTATTTATTTTTATTTTTTTTTAAATTTTTTTTTCAACGTTTATTTATTTTTGGGACAGAGAGAAACAGAGCATGAACGGGGGAGGGGCAGAGAGAGAGGGAGACACAGAATCGGAAACAGGCTCCAGGCTCTGAGCCATCAGCCCAGAGCCTGACGCGGGGCTCGAACTCCCAGACCGCGAGATCGTGACCTGGCTGAAGTCGGACGCTTAACCGACTACGCCACCCAGGCGCCCCCAAAAATACTATTTAAATATCACCTACTCTGTGCCAGGTAATGAGTTACATGCACTATACCTTCTACCTCACCCCCTCCTATTTGCATCGTAGGCGTTACTAACCCATTTTACAGATGGACTCAGGAAAGTTAAGCCTACACGAAAAGTAGAGGAATCTGGATTCTAGGAAAAATCCAAACGGTCACAACCAGAGTTTCTCACCGTCAGCACTATCAGTGTTTTGGACTGGATCGATCTCTGTTGTAGGGACTGTGCTGTGCATCGCAGGCTATTTAGCAGTACCTCTGGTCTCTACCCTCCAGATGCTAGTAACACACACACACACACACACACACACACACACACACACACACCTGCCAGTTATGACAACCAGAAAGATCTCTAGATAATTGCCAGATTTCCCCCCAGGGGCAAAATCGTCCCCTGCGGAGAGCCCCTAACTTCGATGCTCGCATCACTTCCGAGAATTGGAATGTTATTTTGTCCCCATGTCATACATGTGGAATCTAAGGCTCCAAAGGGGTTGATAGCCTCTGCTTAGGAAATAGTGATGGCACTGACACAGAGAGGGAGCCTGCAGGGTACCCCTAGTCCTGCCAAGTCATAGTGGACAAGCCAGGATGGAATATTTATTAACAATCTATCAACCGCCTATGTGTTACAGACCATTATTGATATAAATAAAGCAATACCAAGTCCCTCCCCTAAGTCTACTGTTCCTCTTGGAGCGAGACACCCAACACAAAACAACCAATAACCAGGATTTCTGAAGTCAGGTACCAGCCGTGTGCTGCATGGCTAATTTCATTTAGCCCTCCCTACAGTAGGCTGAGGCAGATACTGTTACTAGCTTCCATTTTACAGGTGGACAAACTGAGGTTCTGAGATTTCATCCCCCCTCTCCCTCCCTGCAAGAGCCCGATTTTTACATAGGCCTGGCCGGCGCGGAGTCCGCCTCGCCTTATTAAAGACTGCTTTGACAAAGTACGGGACCGTGTCAGGTTCCGAGAGGAAACATTCACCGCGAGCGTGTTGGTGCAGAACATTTTCAGATCTGAAACCGCTCCTTGTGGGGGAGGAAGCCTCAGCAAAGTTTTTCAGGTGCCTTTGTGGAGTCATTTTTGCAAGCGAGGGAGAAACAGAGACAGATGGGCAACACAGGAGAGGAGCTCTGCGGCGGCGTCTCCTTAGAAATAAACGTGGAAACACCGAGGCCCGGTTTTGAAAGGAATCCTGGAGCGGGTTGGGATCCGGGATCCCCGGCCTGGAAGAGGCGGTCCCGCTGCAGGCTGTGTAGAACGGGCCGCGCGCGCCCTCTGCTGGCCGTCCCGGAGAGCGCACCTGTCCTTTGAAGTCCCGCCCCGCTGTGCTTAGGGCGCGCAGTGCTCAGCGTGGCGGGGAAGCGGCGGCCCGGGAAGCTTTGGCAGCGAGATCTTGTTAGAAAAATTACACTGTGGCATTTTGTTCCTGAAGGAATCTGATAATTGTGAGCAACATCAGGATTGCTGGGTTAGGGAGGCAGAATGGCGCTGGTTGAGAGCGAGGACTTTGAAATCAGGAAAATGTGAGTTGGCCTCGCACTGTCTCCTGCAGAAGCTAGTCACCTCCACCGGGCCTTAGTTTCCCCATCTGTAAAGAGAACGCCTTCAGAGAGCTCTTGTGAGCATGCATGTAAAGTGCCTGGCCCAGACTTCCCCCCACCTTCCAAAAAAAAAAAAAAAAAAAAAAAAAAAAAAAAAAAAAACCACCCTCATTAATTAGTAGCTATCGTAATTAATTAATGTCCTTCTCCTTTCCAAGGGCCCTTCATTGTGTGGCCTTTGCTTAGGACATCACGTGGACTAAAAGTCTTTTTCATTGGCTATTTATTCCAGGGTCGTTTTAGCATCAACCTTTACGGGACCGGCCTGTCTTTAACTGACTCAGCCAGATGGATATCACAAGGGAACTACGCGGTCTCCGACATTAAGAAGTCCCCGGTAAGGTGACCTAGTGGCTTCCGTTGGGTTTTGGTTTTTTCTCTTTCCTTCCTTCCTTGCCGGGTCTGTTGTGGTGGTGCTAAAGGGACGAACGCGCTTTCCCACTTGCTGAAACTATTTTGCAAAGTGTCAGGAAGGAAACTTAGGACATAAATTGAAGGTGAAGCAAGTGTAAGTTGAGTTTATCCGAAAGAGCCTTGCTTCGCTTCCGGTGAATCCTTCCCTGAGTCCTCAACCTGTGAACCATCTGAGTAATTGGACGATGCCTAACGGGGAAGCTGAAAGCAGTTAAGAAGCCTCTGAGAGAGGGTGCAGCTCCAACACCTTGCAATTAGCCAACATTAGATTCCTTTTGTGAACGTAGGGCACAGGATGTTTGTTTGTTGTTGTTGTAAGAAAAAATGGAAATACAACAGAGGCTGGAAGGTAGGGATGTTATCAGGTGATGTTCACAGAGCGTTCGAGAAACACTCAGGGGTTTCACAGTTACCAGGTTTTCATGCTCAAAAATCCTGCCACTCAAGGTGTGGTCCACATAGAGCATCAACATCACCTGAGGCTTGTTGCAAATGCAGTTTCTGGGGGCCCGTGGCTTCGAAGTCCGGATCTGCCGCTGAACAAGGTCTCCAGGTGGATCCTAAGCAAGGCACAGCTTGAGAAACCCTGGTGTTTCTCAGAATCCCCTGGAAAAGTTTCAAATGCATGTGCCCAGACCCCAGCCAGACTGACTGAATGGGAACCTCCCAGGCAGGGGTAGAATTTTTAACTCCCCTTGTATATACCCAGGACAGAAACTGCTGTGTGTTCCTTCCCTCAGTTCTGAGAACCTGCGACAGGAACCTGACCCCAACGACATAGGGGAAATTTACCAGAGTATGGCCTATGGTCCCAGGTCCTGCTTCAGCCGTGACCCTCACACGGGGTCTCCTCAGAAATGTGGCTGGGGGAGGACAAAGAGGAAGAGAACGGGGAAAGGGGTTATCATTACAGAGTAGGGTTGCCGGATGAAGTAGAGGACGCCCAGTTAAATTTGAATTTCAAATAAGCAAGGAACATTTTTTCTTTTTACTACATGCATGTCTTAAACACTGTATGGGACATATTTATTCTAAAAAGATTACTTGTTGCTTATATGAAACTTACATCTAACTCAGTGCCCTGTATTTTTATCTGCTAAACCTTATCAAAATGAATATAAAGAAGAAATTCAAGCCGCTCCCCCCCCCACCCCAGGAAGGGACGAAACATCCGATTGTGACTTCCCAGGGAAATCCCTGAGTTTCTAGAGCCCCAGTTTTCAGCTTCCAGGGTTAAATTTGTCTATGGGAAAGAAAAAAAGAAAAAAGAAAAATCTGACTCCCGTCTTGCTCTAAGCCAGTCCCCATTGATTGCTCGTAAATCATTCAACGTTTTCCTTTGCACTGAAAGGAATAAAGATAGCTGATAGACGGCCCGCCTGCTTTAGAATGTGCCACCAAATGATTATGTTCTTCCACACCACTACCCCCCAGGGGCCATATATTCTGTTTCAGTCACTCCGAGGGACAACAACATTAACTGCCCAAAACGTGGTCAGACACGAAGCAGGATTCCGTAGGAAACCGTCTATGTAGACTCCGTTAGCTAAGTTTCAATCCCGTCAGCCCTTATCAGTATTGTTGTTTGCATCCAGAACCTAAAAATAATTACGGCGGAGAGCGCCACCTTCTGGAGAGAATGATCACTGCCCTGCAAAGACGGGTTGGCTGTTTCCCAAGCGTTTGGGAGAAGTTCCGCCTTTCCTGGAGGGGGTTGGTTTGACATTTGCCTGCCAGCATTTTTTTCTTTTTTTAAATCTTGGTGTTCCGGAAAAAAAAAAAAAA